GGTTCCCTCAAGATTACAGGTACATCTTGCTGACGAGTGCCAAATAGCACGAAACCCGGGTCCAGGGTTTCCTGTTGACTACCTCCAACCACCAACTAATCTCAACAAAAGAATTATCCTCTACATTAACAGTTCATAAAGTTAGACCACTAACATTATTAGTGGAGATGATTGTTGGTCACGCAGTATCATGAGTTGTCTGTAGTTAGAAATATAGACGACTGTTCTAAACGTTGACCTCAGGTACTTGGTCTGGTTCATGATTGGGCCATTGATGCGCAGCCATAGTTAATAGTTATAGTATAATTTTGATCTCCAGGTACATTCAAACGACAAGTTTCAAGAGGGAAAAAAACTCTCTGAATTCCATTGATAGATACTGTCTAAATATAGGTCCTGGATAAAATATTGACGAAATTTTCAAACCATAGTAAGTACAAAGTTTCATGCTTTTCTCTTTGAAACAAATAGAATCGATTAAAACTTCTCGATTAATAATGCATTAGTTAAGTAGACAAGCCTTTTCCTAATTTATTATTAATAGTTTGATTGGGTATTGTGTCAGATTGCATTGATAAACTGGTTAGTAATCAACTTATATTCAATTTCACTGATTGAAATCATGAGTCAATTGAAGCTAGACCACCATGGAAAACCTGGAAGCACTGGATGGACGTTTCGTCCTAGTATGGAACTCCTCAGCAGTGCGCATCCACGATCCCTCACCCCGTGAGATTCGAACCCAGGACCTATCAGTCTCGTGCCAGGCGCTCAACCAACTAGACCATTGAGCTGGACGGCATCCAGTGGTGTTAATGTCTAACTTCAACGAGTCCACGAAGTTGCACCACTGCACACCATTGTCTTCAGTGAGTTGATAACTCACAACAGACCTGGTTGAACTCCACTGGTAACGTGGATGCACACTGCTGAGGAGTCCCACATTAGGACGAAACGGTCATCCAGTTCTTCCAGGTTTTCCATGGTGGTCTAGCTTCAACTGACTCATGATTTCAATCAGTGAAATTTCTAAAATCTCCACAAACCGCTTCTGATTATATTCAATTGTTCATTCAGTTTTTGATTTGTTATACTGAATCATGTTAATGAAACAAAATTTCGTTTACCGATTAGTTGATTTTCCGTCATGAATTCAATTTTATTTTAATCATTTGATTATTATAACCATTAGTTTTTCTGTTATTATAAGTGACCCTACTTCTTAGTTTATAAGAGTAGAATAATTATACCTGGTAATAAGTACTGAGATAGAATACATTCAGTTTTTGTTACCTACTATATATAAGGGGAATTAAATTCAGAAAGTATTCATCAGGATATTTCTTAAAAAAAACCCATTCAGATAGGAAGTTAGCTTTTATCTTTAACACACTGATAGATAAGTTGTCAGGAAGAAGAAGAAGAAATAACTCGAAGGTTATCACCTTCAAAAGTTGTATTTACTTACTTATTTTTATGGAGTTTTGTTCTCTGAGAATCATCCACCTGAGCTAAAGTCTCCACTTATTTACTTACTCACTTGCTTACTTACTTACTTACTTACTTACTTACTTACTTACTTACTTACTTACTTACTTACTTACTTACTTACTTACTTACTTACTTACTTACTTACT